ATGTGCATACTAGGTATATGACTTCAGAACAACCATCAATTGATGACTTTTTATTGTAAAAACACAAAACCATATCAAAATTATTAAAAAAGTTGAAAAATGTCACCCACTAAACATTTTAAAGTATTTAAAAAATTGCCATTTGTCAATTATTTCAAGTATGGTTTCATAAACTTTTATTTGTAAAAATAAAACGTAAATTTAGTTTCTCAGATGAGTGGCAAAGAGGAGCAATATCTTGTAGAACTTTTATCGCTCTTTCTGCACACACATTGCTGCGTTGAGTGTGTATGGAAGATGGACTTTGAGACCAATGAGTTTGAAAACAGCGCAACGCCTTAGGATATTCATTAACAGCATATAAAAGAAATTCATATTGTTCAGTTCTGTAATAATGATCACTAAACCAAGCATCACTCCATTGTTCACAGATAAATTCACACAATTTCTGAAGGTTCTTTCGTTCATCAGGCAATAGTATGAAAGCCAACAATGCAAAAATTGCTCGAGAATTCCATCGGGCATTGCTGATACCAGGGAGTGCTTTAAAGTTAACTTTTGGCATTTGTTGAAAATTCTTAAAATGCTTGAAAACGCAAATTAGATGGTGCAAAAACTTCATATCATCTCTCCAGCCTACTTCCTGTTCTTTTAGATTTGGAGTACATTTCTTTGCTTTACTTCCAAATCTTTTTTTAACATTTCATAATCTTTAAGTATCTTACTCACAAATGGATAATTCATGTTAGGAGACTCAGTTGAATCGCCAAGCAATGCATCACACACGTGTCTAAGAACACAATCAAGTATGTGGTGCTGACAACCTATAAAAACTGGCGCAGATTCACCGTGTTGAACAAAAAGTTTCTGAAGTCTCACCACAACACCAGACTTTGACCCAGTATTAACATTTGTAGTGTCTGACACTATCATCTTTATAGCTGCCCATAGATTATAATCATTTAACGTTTTTTGAATAGCAGATGCAATAGTAGTAGCTTCTCCATCTGGTAACACTAAGACAGCAAGCCTCACTTCTTTTACTTCATTTCTTAATAAAACTACTTGGTGTTCTTTTTTCTTAATAATTTTACCATCAAAATGTAAACACCATGAGCTATTCCACAAAGTATTCATTAATGTTTTCATTACTTTACTTGCTTCTCTGTATACCGCTCTATAGACACCTGACTGAGAAGGAGTTGTTATTTTAACACCGGACTTGTTTAAAATTGTGCTAACTATGGCAGCTCTTCAAACTGACAGCTTCCCAGATTGTACTAATGAAACTGCACTAAACGTAGACTGTTGAGATTGCTTCAGATGTGTGCTCTGATCAAAGCTTTCAATGGATGACTGTGTTGCTTCAGAGTCATCAGAACTACTTTGAGAATCTTCATTGTCACTTGAGTCATTAGAACTTTCTTCAAAACTGTCTTTTTGTTCTAGTTTATCATTAACTTTTCCAGCAATTTTTCGTTTTGATCGGTGAATTGTACTCTGACTGGCAATTTTTGTTGTTGCATATCCTGTCTTACCTCTACTCTGAATTTGAATTTGGTAAAATTTTTTGTCTTCTGCACATAGCCATTGACCAGTTTTGTTTGTGACATCAAACAACTTATCAAATTGCTCACGCATGTCACCAACAGGTTTTTTCAAATGAGTATCATACTTTTTAAGTAAAGTTTCAATTTTTCTGCCTACTGAACGCAAAGATAGTATTGGAAAATTCAACAAGCTCCACAATTGCTCTATTTCTTGTTTGAGTGTTGTAATTCTTTTTAATCTAGACTTTTCAGTAGAGGCCAAGCCTAAGTAGCAACCAATTATCATCCACTCTTTTGGCATTCTGGAATGTGAATACAAAGGTTTGATCCCAATGCTGACTTTGTTTCTTCTCTTAAGAGTGTTTTGAAATTTTTTCAAATTACTTGACCATTTGTCTTTATTTTTAGTAACAGAAAGTGAAGATTGTTTATAAGACATTTCAACAAAAATAATGAATTTTCGCTATATTTATTATTTTTATATAAAAGTTCATCAAACTTTGGCATGCCGATTTCAATTTTACAAAATTTGTTTTTGAAGTCATATACCTAGTGCATACATTGTAATATTGAAACCAGAACAAATCCGAAACAAATTATAAGTGCACCGATGAAAATAATTAAAGTGTAGCGAGATGAACAAACAATTCAATCAATCAATTAAACAAAAATTCAAAGTCCAGTTCACGAAATCGAGCCGACTTCGAGTTTAACGATATCTCTCCAGAGTTTCCTCGTAAATAACTCGATGTAAGAATGTATGAACATGAACTTTTTTGCCGTACTACCTGTCATAAAAAGTGAGAACTGAAAGTGGTAGTATTTCTGAAGAGAAACGTGCGTTACGTTGGTGAGTTTTCTTGGTAGGAAGCCGGTTAGGTAGGCGTCGTCGACCCAGAAAAATGGCACGTAGTGTGAGGTGTTGTAGAGTTTCTGGGCGAGGTCAGAGGTCATGACGAAGGCACTCCCTGAACAGTACCTCGGGTAGAGTTCATCCGGGTAATCTTCTACGTCCACTTTCCATTTGCCCTCTCTGTGATTGTTGTTGGTTAGGAAGTTTAAAATTTTGACGGTTATGACGATTATAATGATATTTGTGGCATCGGTTGGTTTAAGAGTGATTGGAATTTGTAATATGATGACGAAGACGATGACGATGATGATGATGACAACGACGATGATGATGACGTTGAGACAATGATAGAATGATGATGATAATCTTGTGAAATGATAAATTTAGCTACACCGTTCATATTACTCCTAATATGACAAAAAATTAAAACTATTTTATTTCTGATATTTAGTAAAATCATGAAATAAAACAAATGAATAAAACAAAAGTTACTAACGAAAAAGTGTAGAGACAAGAAAAGATGAAGACAATAAATCGTTAGGGCATAGTCAAGTTCTCAGTACAAAGTTTTGTTCGAATTTCTCACAAGTCTGAGATACTCGCTGATAACTAAATTTAAAAATTGCTCTCCAGTGTACAAATGTCTACACTAAAAGTAATATGAATGTGACGAGTTTCAATGCCTCGTAACTCAGATGGTTGTACTTCTGATAAAAATTTAATTAATTGTGAAAATTTCACAGCTTTATATCTAAACTGCCTGAATATTTTTATCGTACGTTAATGTGGAGCTATCGGTTATGGCATTGATTCGTTAACATTAATGGATTTATAAAAGATTTTTATAAAATGTGTATTTGAAATTTTTTAAACAACGTTAGGAGTGTTGTTTTGTGTGTGTAAAAAAGTTAATTTTAATCACTTCAACGCTTGTACAGTTAATGAAATTTGAATCATTTTTAATGATTTTCTATTTCCAGACGGCTATTTATGAAAAAAATTCTCGATCCAGCCTACACTCTGATAGATTGAAACATTGAACGAATTAAAAATTGCATCGTCATTTCATTATTGATGAACGTGTGATTAATGAATTAATAAACATAAGGAAAAGGAATGTATTAAACAGCATCCCTGCTCACCTCATGACCAACATCCTACTCCACACGCGGCAGAATATTGTATTCGTTGTAAGCATCTGCTTGTCGAGGTAGTTGAAGAGAAGGAAAATGTTGACGACGATGTCATCATCAGTCTTGATGATGAACCTCGCGTGGCTGCAGTACTCAGAGACCCACTTCATCGCTCCCACCGCTTTGTACGTCAGGTTGTGGTAGTCGTCGTAATAATTTTCCTGGATAATATCCTTGTAAGTGTCTGATTCCTGCTTTAAAAACCATTGCGTATCTTCTTTCGGTTTTGGGAGGCCAATGAAAAAAAGGATTTTGATGGGACAAATATGGTAGATTGGATTTCCCCAGGTCTCTCTGATCAGCTGCCTTCGTTTGTAATTTCCTGGGGCTGAATGAACGTAAACAATGGCAAACAGTTTTTTCATTGTTGTTTGTTTTGTACCTGCTGAGTAGGTTGTTGTCTTTGGTTTTAGGGTTTCGTTCGTTGATGTGGAATCACTGCTGTTGATGACTTCTTTGAATAGCGTTTGTGTGCTGTTGTTGTCGGTGTTGCTGTGACCACTCTTGCTGCTGCTGCTGCTGTTTGGGGATGTTTTTGCGAATCCATTAAAATCCCACCAACTAGATGTTTCTGGATAGTTTAGTACTTTTATTACGTGGTACATCTCTTGTTGTTGGCAGGTGTTGGGCTGGTTGATGGTGAAGTTGAATGGATGTGGATGAACAACTGGTCCGTCCAATGGGTGGGACATTATCGAACGCTTGCTTGTCGTATTCGTAGTTGCTAGTGTTGTTGTGTATTTTGTCGTTGTGGTCAGTGCGGTCTGGTTGAGTGTCGTTGTTTCGTATACTGAATTAACTAGGAAACTTATTAATAATGGCGTTGTTGTTAAACGTCTCATGCCGTCGTCCTTCCCAACACTCAGCCCTGAGGATATAGCGTATTCTTTAAGCTGATTTTTACGCCAGAATTGGTATGTAGGTCTCGAACTTTTACCAATTTTATCATAACAAATATCGATGTTGGGTAGAATCTGACAGAGGCAAGCAGCCAAAATGAGGACAACTATTACGATGACAAAACGTTTCAAATTAAATCTAAACGAAAACAAATTAACAGTGACTACCTCCCTATTTTTATTGCTTCCTGCAGGCATTCTTTTACATTTGGCTGTTGTTGTTGTTGTTGTTGATCTATCGCCATCCAGTGCTAACTTAAATCTCGTGCTAGCTCGCTAATTTGTGTTGAAACAGATATACATTCTAAGTAATGACATGTGTAAAATCATTCTTATCTTTCTCTTGTATAATACGTAAGAAATGTATGTCACACCGAGTATGTTTTATACAGTGTGTATTTTGTATAACATCTCTTACGTTGTATATACCTTTGCATAATGTATCACATGATATATATAAATGGATATAGGATATACATCATACATGATATATTTTGATAGTATATCTAGTTAAGTAATACAGAATGAAGAATAATTTTAATAAGCAAGTGTTATTATAGGTT